CACACACACACACACACACACACGCGCGCGCGCGCGCACACACACTCACGCAGGCACGCTTAAATCTGGGGGACGTAGTGAGTCCTCATCCGTCAATCAAATGCATCCTGGGCAGACTGTCAGGGTTCAACCTCCTGATGAGTCGGTGAAAGTCCGACAAAACACTCTTTTTTTTGTTTTTTGGGTCTGCTAGTCATGGCATTAATGTTCGCGTGGCTATTTGATTTGCTGCCACGTCGCTAGCTCCGCTTGTTTTAGGTCTATCACAGGTGAGTGGATTGGTGATGATGGAGCGAGCTGGCGGCCACTGGCTCAGTGCTCTCTCTCTCTCTCTCTCTCTCTCTCTCGCGCGCGCGCGCGCGCGGTGGCTCGCTCGCTCCCTTGCTCGCTCGCTCTTTTTTTCCCTATTGTTCCTCAACTTCATAGCCATCATACTCTTCGTCCTAATTGTTGCGATCTGACCCAGTACTCGCACCTCTTTCACTGTCTCCGTCCCAATCGCTGTTCTCAGAGCACGCTGCTTATCTCTGAATCTGGCACGGTAAAGAGTCCAGGGTCAGAGACTAAACAGCCTGCTCTCTGTGTGCTCAATGTGCCCGTCCCTCTTCCCTCCCTCCCTCCCTCCCTCCCTCCGTGAGACCCCAGATCCATTTGCAAAAGCCTTTTTTTTTCTGGATGTCCCTAGCATAACGCCCCCATCATCATGAATGTATGTATACAAGCCCTGTTCCTGTACAAATACTCAGCCATCTACATACGTTACCTTCCTCCCCCAAATAGAACGCATGGTCATTATAGCAGTAATAATTGGGGCAAGCGGAGTGAACTCCACAATCATTTGCTTGCCCATAGGATAGATTGTGGAGTTCACTCCGCTTGCTTCCATTTTGGGACCGCGTACTTATGGCAAGGTCGTGCTTAGGGGAAGATGTAGCAAGCTTCGCCATTTCGCTAATATAAGAGGTGGGATGCACCTCGATGGTGCAATACTCACAACGAACTAGGATAGAGGACTTCTTCAAGACTTTGAAAGGCCGGTTCGAGGAAGAAGAACCTAGCTCGCCGCATAGAGTACCTCATCCTTAACATTAGTGACCGCAAGTGGAAGAGTGCGTCGACACTGAAGGCCACTATGGACGAGCTGCGGCAATGTTTGGATCATGGGCTAACCCTCGCTCATATTCTTACTAACTTTGCTAGAGCGCTGCCCGAGCCCCTTAAGACCCAGTTATATCCCCGCACTAAGGAAGAGGGGACGACCTATGAGAAGTTTAGCAAGATAGTTGTAGATCTTGCTGGTTCCTGCAAGAGGCAAACTATTGCCACTACTGGAAAGATCTGCAGGCTGGCAAGAGGTGGAAGAATAGAACTATATCTGGCAACATAGAGGGAAAGGATAACCTGCTGGTCACTTTCGAAGGAGGAGGTGTAGAGTCGTTATCATACGACCATATAGACTATGGATTAGAAGAGGATAACAACAACCAAGTAGCCCGTGGAGGGGACTATGCGGTGGTTGCAGCCTGTGGGGGAAGGCGACAAGGTAGAGGAGGCTGAGGAAGAGGTGGAGGTCGAGGATGCACTGCCCAGAGGGAGAGTGGCGAAGGTAGGTACTACGCGGGAGGTGGGGGTTATGGTCCCTCGTAAGGTGGTAGAGGTTCTCCCTTCATAAGGGGTAGAGGAAGAGGTAGGAATTGGCGGTCGTACCCAGCACACCCAGGGATAGGTGAGGGCAAACCTTGGGAGGAAATGGGTATAGACGAGAAGATCTGGGAAGACTGTTGCAAGGCCCACCAATGTTTTAAGTGTGGTGATCCCGACCACATAGTTCCCTTCTGTCCAGAGTACAGGTACCCAAAAGGGAACAACCAGTAGAGGTTGCGGTTGCCTCTATAGGGACTTCAGACTCGGATAGAAAGATAGAAGCACGCGCTGAAAATGCACCCTCATGTTGGAAGATCCTGATGGTAGAGACTGTTGTAGGCCCCCACCTAGCTAGCTGTCCAGAGGTTGCTTGTGTTAGGACCTCTCTAGGTGGCTCCCTTACAAGCATTGGTGATGATCTGATCACTCGTCGCCGCGCTAAGGCCGAAATGAAGAAGAAGTCGGAAGGGCAATTAATAATAGCAGATGTAGAAGTGAGCACCGAAAGGATAGGAGCGTTAGTAGATAGTGGGTCAATGTGCGATTATATTAGTTGAAGAGGGTTGCAAAATATGCACCTGGGAATGAAGGTGAAGAAGGTTGATGAGTCGATAATTAATAAATTGGCTGATAATAGAGAGATGGTAGTGTGTGAATATGTTGAAGGTGTCAAGGCATACTTCCGATTGGAGGCAGGGGGCAACGTAGAGAAAGTTTTGCACTCCCTGACACTCTTAGTGGAGGATAGTCTTCCTTTTTACATGATATTGGGAATTGATTGAGGCAATCCCGTGTATATTGACATTAAGTTGGACGAGCACGAGTGTTGGCTGCCCAATCCCACAAGTTGGAAGAAGAAATTGTGTTTGTATCATGCATCTGATGTAGATAGTAGGCTGTCCTTTTGGTGTATGAGTGCTCCCGCGTTTGCTAGGCACGTGGTCAAGAATGACCTCGCTGAGCAAGTATTCGTTGCCTATGTGAGACTGGTTAGGGAGGGGAAAAGGAAGAAGTCCCCATACCACCCAAAGTCTGTCGGACGAGTTCGCTGATGTGGGAGAGGCCCCAAGTGGAGTAGTTGAGAGGGAAACAAAAAACAGGGTAGCAAGATTCTTAAGGGCTTCATCTATTGGATGTCTCCCAAAGAGCTCGAATGAGTTGCAAAGACAGTTAGACGAACTGATAGAAAAAGGGTGGATTAAGCCAAGTTCCTCGTCGTATGGTGCACCGGTCTTGTTTGTCCCGAAGAATGAAGGCGATTTGCGCATGTGTATAGGCTATAGGGGCCTTAATGCAATTACTATAAAGAATGCAGAGCCATTATCGCAGATAAACGACCTTTTGGATAAAGTACATGGTTGCAAGTATTTCTCAAAGATAGATTTGATGTCAGGCTTCCATCAGATCGAGGTATTGTCTGAGGATCAGCACAAGACGACCTTTAAAACTTGATATGGTCGTTTGGGTTGACTAACGCCCCTGCTACCTTCCAACGATGTATGAATGAACTCTTCCACGATTGGTTAGACATTTTTTGTTGTATATTTAGATGATATTTTGATTTTCAGCAAGTCGTTAGAGGACTACGAACAACATCTTCGGTTAGTG